TCAATGCACAACCAACTTGTAAACTACAACTCATATATCTCTGTTTAAAGATTATAAGATATTATCGTTTCAGAATTGATAAATTCATGAAGTGATTCTCTAAGCGTGGGTTAATCCAATACTTAAATCTCTATTTCAAAGTACTCATGAATATTGAAACAATACCATTTCCATGTCTAAAACTCTTTAGACAATCTACAATTCAATTCATGACGGTCTTGATTCATTACTTACTTCTAAAAGTATGATCGACTGTGGATGTTTGAATAATCCAATTATTCGGGAAGTAAAACATGCAAAAATGAAACACAAAATAAACAATAGACAGAAGGTAGTAATGTAACTTATAAATAATTCTCAATTATTCAATCACCAAAAGTCAATTACATTTATTTTGTTACAAGTTTCAAAATAACTAACTACTAAAACTAATATCATCTTTCAGACGAATGCTCCTAGCATGTTGAACGTGCTTGACCCTACTCAGACCCTTTATGAGGGGATCTGCAGGATTCTCTTCCGATGATACCCTTTTCACGATGATGTGACCTTCTTCTACTCTATATATGAAGAAATGGTATTTTCTTTTGATATGTCTTGATCTGCCATGATCTCTTGGTTCCTTTGTTAAGGAAACCACCACTTCATTATCACAGAAAATTTCCATTGGTTCCTTGATGGCTGGAATAACTCCAAGGTATATGATGAATTTCTTCAACCAAATAGCCTCCTTTGATGCTTCACTCGCCGCTATGTACTCTGATTCACAGGTAGAATCAACCACCATCTCATGTTTGGAACTTTTCCAGGTTACCGCTCCTCCATTTAGGGTAAACACCCAACCAGATTGAGAACGACAGTTGTCTCTGTCTGTTTGAAAGTTGGCGTCACTATACCCAGTTACTCTCAACGTATCACTCCCACCAAGCACAAGGACCCAGTCCTTAGTCCTTCGCAGATACTTGATAATATTCTTAACTGCTATCCAGTGAGCTCTACCAAGATTTCCCTGATAACAACTGACCATGCTTAAAGAAAAAGCCACATCAGAGTGAGTACATGTTATAGCATACATTATAGATCCAACTACAGAAGCATATGGAACTCTATTCATTTCTGCTATCTCAGCATCAGTACTCAGACTCTGAGTCTTACTCAGTTTGGTATTACTCTGTATAGGCAGTTCTCCTTTCTTGGAATTCTCCATACTAAAACGCTTTATCATCTTTTCCAAATATGTACTTTGACTAAGTCCAATTAGTCTCTTACTCTTGTTTCTCAAAATCCTTATCCCCAGAATACAAGTAGCCTCTCCCAGATCCTTCATAGCAAAATACTTTCCAAGCCAAGACTTAACATCTTGTAAGATTGGAATGTCGTTTCCTATAAGAAGTATGTCATCAACATACAATACAGGAAGGTTACTATACTCCCACTAGATTTGACATATACACAAGATTCATCTTCACTTCCAGAAAAACCAAACTCTTTGACCTTCTCCTCAAAGCAAAGATTCCATCTGCGAGAAGCTTGTTTCAACCCATAGATTGATTTCTCAAGCTTACACACTCTATCTGGATACTTTGCATCCACAAAACCCTCTGGCTGACTCATGTAAACATCCTCAGCCAACTTCACATTAAGGAAAGCGGTTTTGACATCCATCTTCCAAATTTCATAGTCATGAAATGCATCTATGGCTAACATTACCCTAATTGACTTTATCTTAGCTACTGGTTAAAAGGTCTTATCATAGTCGAACCCTGGGGTTTGAGTAAAGCCTTTGCAACCAGTCGATCCTTGAAAGTGTGTACTTTTCCATCTATTTCAGTCTTCTTCTTGAAGATCCATTTGCACCTAACTGTCTTACGACCTGATACATTATCAACTAAACTCCAACTTGGTTGTCATGCATGGACTTGATCTCGCTGTCCATTGTCTCTTGCCATTTGGCAGCCTCAGACCCTACCATTGCTTCTTTGTAGTTAGAATGTTCATCCAAATTTACCAGTGTACTATCACTGATAAACGTATCACCATTTGTAGTAATATGGAAGCCATAGAACTGAGGCACCCTGAGTATGCTGGGCGTACCAGGAGTACGTTGGGAGTACGAGATCAGTTCCCAAACCTTATTTTTGTGGTTTAAGCCCTATTTAATCTACTTAACTCCCCCAAACCCACTCCATTCTCAGCCTCCACCCCCAACACCCCTTCCATGAAACCCTAACCCTAGTTGAGCCTTATATGCTAAAAGAAGGTGTTTTTGAGTGACTTGGAGTATACATGGTGCACCTTGGAGAAGAAGGAACTTCTTGGAGAAGTGTTGGTTGTATTGGAGCTTATAGATCTGGACTTTGTTCACTTTGATCTATCTTCTAGAGGTATAAAGTTTGAATCTTGATGATGCATTTGTTAGATCTATCTAGTTTTGGATGTTATGAGCTTTTGGTCATGTTAGTGCCTAAAGTTTAGATCTTGAAAGTTTGTGACCTTTTTATGGATAAAGTTGGAAACTTTATCCATCTAAACATCATTTTGATTCAGATCTGAAAGTTGGAGACTTCTACTTAATGGATTAAGTTGAAAAAGATGAACTTTATTAAAGACTAGATCTTGTTTGTTGGGACCATTCTAATGGATAAAGTTGGAAACTTTATCCATTATAAAGCTATTATGAACTATAAAAATGTGATATTGGCCCTTCTATCTCTTCCATGAAAGAGTTGTGATGTCTTATTAGGTTAAGAACTTAGGCTTTTCTTGGAAGTAGGTCCATGTTGGTTTTGGGGCCCAATCGGGTTATTGGGCCATAATGGGCTTTTGTTGTTTTTGATTTGGGCTTTGGATTGCCATTTTGGGTTTTGGGCTTTTTATGCATTTTGGAGTGGGCCTCATATTTTTGGATTATCGGGTTAATTATTGATTAAGATTGTATTTCTTTTGTTAGTTAGCGCGAGGTTATCCGGTTCAGTGGTCCGAGCAGTTATTTGGTTATCAGCAAACTGAGGTGAGTTTCCTCACTGTATTTAGTGGGTCGAAGGCACCAATGTCAGCCCATGGTTTGGTATGCTTAGTATGCTTGTTGTCTATGTGACTCTTGTATGTGTTATATGTTTTATGTTTACCGAGCGAGGCTCGATGCCCGGCGGGGCCCGATGCCAGGCGGGGCCTGATGAGTATATTGTATGCTAGTTATCTGTATATGTTTTTATGATTACCGGGTACGAACCGATGCCAGGCGGGGCCCGAAGGCTAGTTTGTATGCTATTTATCTCTGTGATTATGGTATGTGTTGTGTGTTTATATGTTTATATGTTTATATGTATATATGTTTATACCGGGCGGGGCCTGATGCTAGGCGGTGCCTAATGACTGATAGATCTGTATACCGAGCGAGGCTCGATGTCGGGCGAGGCCCGATACCGGACAAGGTCCGATGTCGGCGGGGCTCGATGACGGGCGGGGCCCAATAGTTGTTGATATGTATGGTATGTGGTATTTTGGGGAACTCACTAAGTTTTGTGCTTACGGTTTTCAATTTATGTTTCAAGTACTTTTGTTTTCAAAAGGAATGGCTCAGCTTGATCGCATCTCATCCACCCATGTTTCCGCATTATGATGATTTTGGGATTGTGCTCTAATAACTGGTTTCTTACAAAGTACTTTTGAATTTTAGCAAAAGAGTATTGAATGTTGACTTAAAGATAATTAATGTTTTGGTTGAAATAAAATCGAAATTTTTACCTCATTATTTAGGGATGTTACAAACTCAGCCTCTCCTTCACCACCCTTAATGGAGTTAACCATAAAGAAAAGTAAAATTAACATCTCATGTTAATTATCTTTTTTGTTTATCCACATATGACACACGAGAGATTCACTTCATTTGAGATCTCTCTTACTGCATGTAATCTCTATCCCCTCTCACTCTGGCGATATTTTATAATAAACAACCCTAATCTTATACGGTAATCATATATGGATCCAAAAGGGCCTCAAATGCATGTATGCTTGGTAAAAAACGAAGGCCACAAATTGTTTAGGGTCAGATCATGTATGTGATTGTTTAATGCAAACGTTACACTTTTAGTTTCTATGGTTTGCTCAATGTTGTATATTGCACCCAACCGCATTTTCTCTTACAATTATTACTCCCATAATTGCCACTACAACCCCTCACTTTTCTATGTTACATTTGTTTTATTTTAATTAGTGTATTTTATATTAAGTTATTCATTTATGAATATAATTAGTTATTTTTATTATTGTATAATGTTCTTATTTAATAAGATTCTAACATAAATTTATATTTATATTGTTAAATTTTAAAAAAAGTAATATTAAACAATTAGTCAAATCGTGTTAATTAAAAGATTTAGTTGCTAATTAAAAAGTTAATATATTTATAATATATAGAATTTCGTTTAAATAAATATTTTATTAGATTTAATTTTCATATATAAGTTCAAAGAAGTTTATGTCTATCTTTAAAATATTATTTATATCATATTTATTTGAAACTCTCATAATTTTTGTAATGTTTTTTATTATTGATTCTAAAATGATTCATTAATATAATATAATTGCAAAAAAAAAAAACAATATACCTAAACTTTAGTATCTAAATCATATTAATAATAATATGTGGTTTTTAAAAGTCTTTTTTTATTATTATTATTATTATTATTATTATTATTATAATAGTTAAACGCATACGGCCACAAATGAGAACCCATATTTAATCATTTTTCAAATAATTACATTAGATACTAATGTGTACATAGACGTTGCATTTAAGTATTTTTCTCATTCTCGCTTAGCTTAATCCGCATTTGTATTTGATTTATAATAAAAATATACACATATCATTTAAAAATTAATGATTTTTTTTTTTTTTCAATTCTTACTTTGCCTAACCTTTGAAATTCCACTACAAATGATTAAATATTGTAATTTCAATATAGCTTCTAGTCTAGCGATTATGTTTAAAAAAGTTGACATCCTTGTTTACTCTCACCACCATTTGTTGTTTAAAAATTTTAAGTCAGAAATTAATTATCTACAAATATAAATTAAGTTAAAAATAAAAATGAAAGTTAAAAAGTGTTATAAGCTCTATTATGCTTCTTGAGGGAAACAACCAATGTGATATGCTGATATATCATTCACCTTCTCATTCTTACTTGACAATTTCTCTTTACTCGCACTAAAATTCCGATAAGGCCTTTGAACAGGAGGTAATAACAAAGCCGATTCTTTATCCATCGACAGTAATTTCCCACATTTACTGCACATTTATATTTACAATATTATTACTTCACAATAATAATAATAATGATAATAATAATAATAATAATAATAATAAATATTATTTCACTATTCAAACTATTATATACCTGCATACTTTCGTGAATAGACTTTCATAGCTGCATATCCAATGCTGCAAAAACAAATATTTCAAAAAACAAGTACTCTATTATTTTCTCTTTTTCTAACTTATCTACAATATTTTCAAAAATACCCCTTCTACTATCTTTTTGTTATAATAACCAAACTAATCATTTGTATATAATTATAAACTCAACCATGAACTGGATTTGTATAAAAACTCAAACTTGAAGGACCACAAATGACACATGAAAAGTTTGGGGATGACATACCAGTAGAGAATAGAGTGCCATGTCAGCATTCACACCAATAAAATGCTGTGGAGCCATGGCAGCATGTTCCTGTAATTCAGATTTAATAAAACATTAATTAAATTAAAATTTGAAATTATTATAAAAAAAATCATTTTACCGTGATGTTCCTGAAGATGTGAAAACCTGAAACCCCACGTGCATGTACATAGCTCCCACCCTTTTGGATAAAGTTTTAAAAACACAAATTAATTATTAATTATATATATATATATATATATATATATATATATATATAATATATATATATAATTCATCAGGATTGAATTTACAGATACCTCATCAGGTGAAAAGAAGGCTACTGCATCAGGATTAAGGGAGCCAATTGGATGCAAAGAAATTACTGCTCTAAAAACCGAAGGGAGTAAAACCTCAATTACAGCAATCTGGTCAGCATCCGGTGCACCACCTGCACCTGATCCTGGCCTAATGTGAAAGCTGTGAGTGTTTTGTGATTCGTCTGAAGTGTCATTAGGGAGTAATGAAGCTCTTTTTGACCAATCTAATCTTTGGTAAGTTGAAGTTTTGACTTCTGGGATTTGTTTTTCAAGTTGTGTTAGAACATCTGACACACTTCTCATTCTCAACTCACTCAACTCTTCTTCTTCTTGCTGACTCATCGTTGTGGAGTGGGACCCACGGGGCTTTTTAGCAACTGACTCGTCTACTGAATCATCATCCAGGTGAGGGAAAAAACGTCGCTTTTGATCAGTAAATGCCTTGAGAGCCAACCTACGATATTATAACATACTGTTGTTTTAAAGATGACTGAAATAGGAAGGTTGCTAAGGAACAGAAAGAAACTAGAAATCAAGAAGAAGAAGAAGAAGAATTAGAGATATCCAAGAAGTGAAAGCATACCTGGTTCTATCAACAGCAGATGCTCCAGCCTGACCAGCAAGTTGTCGCTTCCATGCATATGCAACAACAGCACCATCAGGACAAACTAAAGGCATGTGAAGACCCCAAGAATTACTTCTTGACTTAAGTGATTCATTCAGAACTCCAGAATCTTCCAATTGTCTTCCTAACAGATTCAGAAATCACACATTCAATATTACAGCTTAGTAATTTAGATTTGACACAAGATAGATGTACATGATTCCTGAAATAAAGTTATGCTCCATGATTCTTGAGATGAAACCTAGTCATTTTGAGATTCCAAACCAGTTGTAGAGTTTGATGTGGATATAATACTAATGTTACCTTATTACATCATTATAAAGCTTTATTGCAACTTCCAAAATTTTCTGCAAAAACTAAAGAATTCAATCCGTTTTCATGTTGAGACTTGACAGCAGGTCTAATCAGTACAAAGAGTCTGATGAAATACTTGATGCCAAAGATGTATTGCAACAACCTTTCATAGGATCTGATCTATTGGTTTTAACATCTTTGCTTCGCGCTTAGACTATGTATGTGCGAGAGGCGGACCCATGGATCGTCACACCATCGCGTGATCGTTGTTTTGCAGGGAATTGGAGCATCAGCATAAATGAATTCAATCGATTTAGAATCGAAGGATCTAAAACTTAAGTTACCAAACTATTTTGTACGCTATCCCTTGTAACATAAACCCTAAAACAACGAAACGTAAAATTAGTAGTTACCAATAGTTCGAAGATCTTGAAGGTACTGACGCATAGAAGCTCCTTCTTGAAGAATCAAATGCACGGGTTTACCGGTGCTTGACTGTTGAGGATGCTGTCCGGCAATAAATAGGGCTTCCAGAAGGCGATCGGCACCGAGTCTAATGTCGGCAATGAGTCGAGCAGCATGGGCCAAACGATCCATAGCTAAGGCTACTTGTTTCGGAGGAGCGTCCGTCGTAGAATCTTGCGAATCCGGCGGAGAAGAGATGGGGTTTCCGGCGGAATACAGTGGTGGTTGTGAGTGTTGGTGCTGCATCTCGATGTGTGTGTTGTAAAATGCCTCTTGTGCAAAATTTTAGCTGCCACGTGCACTAGTAGCTGAAAAATTAAAGAAATAAGACTTGCCTCGTGCCTAGTTCTGTTTTACGTTTTAGCCCCTATTCTTTTAGTTCTTTGCCAGATATTTCCTAACTATCACTTTTTTTTCTTACTCACTCCAAATACATATTAACTTTTTATGACTATGTCGATTACATATATTAAAAGTTTGTGTGGCGTGACTTAATGAAATCGTAATTTAATTAAATGAAATTCAAAACATATAATGAAATGAATAAGTTAATAGTGTGAACCAAAGTTTTAAAAATTTCGTCATGACGGGTCATGACTCGAAGAATTGTATTCGAAGCTACATTTAAACAAAATGTAGCCTTAAATCATATATATGTATATAAAAATGAATAATATTAGAAAGTACATAAATAAATTATTAATTATATATAAAGTTATCGCTTTAAGTCACACCTTACAGACGATTTGGTTCGTTATGACTCGTAAAAGCTTGAAACTTAACATTATTGTCAAATCACGTCTAACATTATTTAGAATCTTGGACCGTGAACCGTTACATTGTTTGGTTGACTTAAATGATTGAAATAAACTATTTAAATATGTTGTTGGTCGGATAAAATTAAAAAACAAAACTCAATAGATAAAACTAAAATTATTTTTTAAAAATCTAACTTTAATCACATAAAAGTATTTTTTTTAATCATATTTTATGTGTTTGAAGTATATAATGTATGCAAATTATCATTCTAAAAAAATGTTTATATATATATATATATATATATATATATATATATATATATAGAGAGAGAGAGAGAGAGAGAGAGAGAGAGATAGATAGATGAGGAAGAATCATTTGAGAACTTATAGTTTCCCGAAAACTAAAAGTGGAACGTAAGATCAAAAATTTTAATGGTCTAGACCAAAGATGACGTATGTGTAATTATCAACAATTTCAATGGTAGTTTTGACTTTTTACAGTAGATTATGAGGGTAGTTACGGAATAAAAAATTAAAATACCTATTAATTAATCAAAATTAATTTTTGAAACACAACTTTCTTTCTCTCTCTTCATCACACATACGTACCCACTCTCTAAATCTCTATTTCTCTCATCTTTCATCTTCATCAAGATCTATAGATGCAATAATCAAATCTCACCTCTTTATCACGTCCTAACCTCGTCAACGAAGATGCAATGGTTCTATTATCGTCGTCAATCGATTGTATCAAACCTCTTTTTGACCAAATACATGGCCGACGATTACTGATATGATCATCAATAGATCCACCTTTCATCGCCGCTATGATCATCAATGTGAAATATGATATTGTCCAACGATCCATGTTTCTTTTTCACCGATCATCAACGACATACAGGTCACTAGAATCCGCATCCATCAAATTTGACATGTCGGTTACCAGGCTTTTTCAAGTGCTACAAACACGATGAGAATGTGACGGTTAACGAACATAATGTCTTCGCTATATGCACCGAGATTCAAAATGCCATCTTTGCAAGTTAGATTTGTCTGTCACCTAATGTTGTGTATGATTTTAATCTTTCGTTCTTATTAGGATCTACATATAATTGTAGTTTTCAATTTCGTTAAGTGTGAATTTCATTTTGTGAAATCAATCAAGCTCAAATCAATGTAAATTCGTAACATTGGTTTCTACTTTATATTGGTTGATCTAGAATTAGGATACATCTAAAAAGGTAATTTATAATAGAATAGGACATTGAACGATTATCACTTAACTTGTGAAACCTATTTTGATCATTAAATTCAACAAACCAAGTGATGATAATGAATCATCAACTTTGTATGAATATTAAATAAATAAAGTACCTTTATAAGAGATGATTAAGTTTGTGTTTGTGGTGGATAGCCATAACGAAATATTATTCGGTTTGCTTTTTTTATATTATTTATATATTATATGTATAAATTATGAGTTTTGAGCTGGTCCTGTATACAAATCTCAACTTACTGATGGTTTAATATTAGCAGTGAAACGTATGGATAAAGTTTCAGAACAAGCTATTGAAGAATTATGTAAAAAAATTGAGCTTCTTGCTATACTTCATCATCGTCATCTTGTTTCATTAAAAAAAATTGCATTGAAAAACATGAAATGTCAGTTGTTTATAAAACTAAATTACTTATTTTTTTTATAGATGTTGTAAGTGAATAGTTTTGTAAATATTGTTTTTTGTTTTCGTAGGTTTCTTATGTATGAATATATGGCAAATGGAAGCTTAAAGAATCATCTTCATAGTATGCATCTTTAAATATATTTGGTGTGCTAATTACAAAAATACCATTATATTTAACCACTTGTACTTTATTTTTCCAATAAAACCATAAAAGTTATAAAAAATTTTACTATTTAACTATTTTGACCAAATATTACAAGTCAAAATGGTTGATTTGGAATATTAAAGCATCTAACTTTTAGACATGAAATATATTTTTGTCATTAAGAAACGAAAAAAAAAAAGGATAAAACTGTTGTTGTACAAATTCATTTTTTTAAAAATATTTTCAAGTAATTCACAAGTGAATCACATGTAAATTACATGTGATTCACATTTAAATCACATATGAATAACATGTAATTTACACATGAATCATATGTGATTTATGTGAATTCGCATAATATTTTAGTAATTAATTTGAAGCAAAACTATAAGTGTGTAGAGATTCACCTATAAATCACAAGTGATTCGCATGTAAATCACATGTGATTCGCATGTAAATCACAAGTGAATCACATGTAAATCACAAGTGAATCACATATGAATTACATGTGATTCACATGTAATTTACATATGAATCATATGCAAATCATAAGTGAATCACATATGAATCATATGCAAATCACAAGTGAATCACATGTAAATCACAAGTGAATCACATATGAATTACATGTAATTCACATGTAATTTACATATGAATCATATGCAAATCATAAGTGAATCACATATGAATCATATGCAAATCATAAGTGAATCACATATGAATTACATATGATTCACATGTAAATCACATATAAATTACATGTAAATCACATGTAATTCACAAGTGAATCACATATGAATTACATGTGATTCACATGTAATTTACATCTGAATCATATGCAAATCACAAGTGAATCGTATATGAATTACATGTGATTCACATGTAAATCACATATAAATTACATGTGATTCGCATCGCATGTGATTCACATGTAATTCACATGTAAACCACAAGTGAATCGCATATGAATTACATGTGATTCACATGTAATTTACATATGAATCATATGCAAATCACAATTGAATCACATATGAATTACATGTGATTCACATATAAATCACAAGTGAATCACATATGAATTACGCCCATATACACGCATGCATTTTGTGTGAGTGCTCTTCGTTAATTATTTTTTATAAATTTTCTTATGAATTTCACATTTGAATATTAAAAGATACAGTCACATGTGAATCTTGCAAGATATAATCACATGTGAATCTTACATGATATATACATATGCATTTTTGTGAGTATTATTGCATTAATCATTTTTTTTAATTTTCTTGTAGATTGGGATGAATTTGTGGAAAATATTGAAGATGTGAAAAATAATAAATTGAAGAAAATATGAAAATCTTGACACGAATATATGAAAGCTTTTTGAAATTTTGTAGCATTTTTTTATATTTTATTCTGTATCAAATAAAATACTTGTACTATCGTGTTTATAGATTGGTAAATAAAACTGAGTTTTTTCTTATAATTACTTATAAATATTATAGTATAAGAAATATACATATATACATTTGAAAAAATATACATATATGCACCTAAAACATTGATTTTTTTCGTTAAAAATATAGTTTTTTTTTTAATATTCCAGTTTTTTTTTTTTTTTAGTTTACTGTTTTTAAAAAATTGCAGTTTTAGAAAAAAAATCAATTTTTTTTAAAAATTCATGTTTTCCAAAAAAATTAAAAAATCTGCATTTTTTTACAAAATAAAAAATTATTATTTTTATAAAAAAATCAGAAAAATTGATTTGTTATGTTAAATTTTAGACCATTTTTTATTAATATTTCCAATAACACAAAAAAATAAAAATAAACATTAAATGAGATTGGTAAGATGGCGATCATGTTATTAACGGGTTAACTTTGATTTAACGCTCCACCTTTAGTTATCAGGTTCTCAGGAAACTATGAGTTTTCAGCGGATATCACCTATATATATATATATATATATATATATATATATATATATATATATATATCTATATATATATATATATATATTATATATATATATATTAAATCTTAGATATAATATAGTAAAAAGTAGTTACTTTTGAGGAATCAATATTATAATCTAACTAAAACTTTCAAGTAATATAGAATTATTAGTGTCGTTGAAATAAAATTTAAATAAAAATAATTTATAGTTATGATATAGAGAAAAAACAAAAATATAAGTAAAAACATTAAGTATTTTCCAAAACTAAGGCAAAAATTAGAGGTTTTTCTAAACTAACCAATGATTAGTGATCCTAAGTTGAACTTTTTTATAATGACAATCCTTATTATGGTTTGTTTATACCGTTTCGGCTGCTGAGTTTATTCCTATCTTCAAAATTATATGGTTCATAAACTCTAACCACGAAGTAAACCATGCATTTTCCTTGGTTACAATGTCAACTTCAAAGGATACCGATGTCTTGGACAAACTAGTGGTCACATTTATATCATACGTCATGCCCAACTCAATGAACTGGATTTTCCAATTGATTGCGTATCTAAAATAATCAGGAACTTAGAATTTTTCAAGTTACACTAATTAAACACCACATTGCCCCGACAGACCATCATTTTTTTACGTTCTTCTATTAACGCATGTGCTCGAAACCATCATTATGTTGTGTCCTCTTTTCCTAATCGCTTCTACGTGGGTGTTTGGTTTAGCTTCTCAAAATAGTTTATCAGCTTATAAG